TGCTATCCATCCTATTGTCTTTAAACAGGGCACATTTTTTTCAGAGTCTCATTTTAAGATTTTTAAAAATCTTAGCACCTGAAAACCAGCCTATTGTGGCGCTAATGGCCCTTAATGAGCATTTGTTTACCCTTTAAAGATCAAATGGCGTAATGTATATTAAAGTACAAAACCGGCTCCAAGCCGGTATTAGCTTGCCATTTAGTGTTACACAGGCAAATTAGGAGTAATGACCGATAAATTAATTTTCGTGCGACGACGCGGAATATCGGGACCTATCGGGAGCCGACCGGGCTGGGCCTGGGGGATCCCGAGCTCCGTTTTTCGCTGTCTGCTTTGGAGGTTGGGTGTGTCTCGACCAGGCACGGCGACTTGGCCACCAGGAGCGGGGTGGGGGTGGGGGCGGCACCGCGGGGACAGACGAGCTGCTCTTCAAAGTCAAGGCGCTAGGTCCCCGGCCACCGTTTCTCTCCGGGCGGCCTCGGGGCAAGCGGGGCGCATGCCGGCGCTGGGTGCTCCGCGCCTCGCGCCCGCGCTATGTCCGGCGCGTCCCGGCTGCAGACCCCGCCGCCCGTCCCGGAGCCCCGCGATCTGCAGACCCACCCTGGAGCGGCAGGCCCACCGTGGAGCGCCGGGCCGTCGTCCCCGGGTTCTCTGGATGCAGCGCTGCAACTTCCCAACCTGCGCAGTTTCAGCGTCTCAATTCCCTGTACAAATGCAAACATCGAATGTGTTAGAAAATTCGGAACTTTCCTTCGAGGCTGCCGTTTTAAATTCTGAGGTCTGAATGTACCGAATTTAGCTATGCCTAGAAATCTAAAATCTAGACATTCTCCGAAAAGTCAACTTTGATTCCTCTTTGGCAGGCGGCAGAGTGGTGGGCTAGCGCCTTCTTGCTAGTCGAAGTCGCCCTCCTGTCCCTGTAATGGAGCTGCGATCCCGCTGCGCTCTCTTCCTGGTGATCGACTGCTCTACTATTTCTAACCAGGAGAAAAGTCAACAAACCAATAAATTCTCCACGCACTTTTCCTCCCTCAGGGTTAAGGTCAATACCTGTGTTGCTTGTTTCCCGATATCTTACTTACAGAATTAGAGCCAAGAGAGAACATGCTTCAATTTTTATGTATAAAATGGAAATACAACTATTTCACTACTGCAAAAATAGGCTTAGATTTAGACAATTCTAGTGGTTAAATACTTATTAGCAGTCACCCAAACAATCACAGAAATAAGAGGTTACATGGGATTCCAAAACTGAAAAGATACTTCATTCAATTGCAAGTAAACATTCAATTTAGTCAAAGCAAAAACACACAAAACCAAAAAACCTCTCCCAGAAGCTTCCATTACCTGCAAACTTAAAAATGATAAAAATAAAAGTGACTTGAAATCGCAAAGTTATTGCAATACTTACTGGATAGAGTAAATTCCTGACAGGATGTAGATGTAGCTCTGTCTGGACATCTTATCTGAATCTTCCCCAGATGCTCACAAATTCTTACTGGCAGTAAAAGGCTATTAATTTACTTTTATAAAATGTATCCTACTTCGCTGTCCCACTGGGATTTCAAATGGAAAGCAGCAGTGTTTCAAAAGCTGGACTCAAATAATACACAGGGTTTTTCATCCAATAAATAACACACAGGGTTTCTCACACGAAACAACTGGGGAGTATCATCCATGCTTTGAACTGCATGGGAAATTTATGTTGCCACCACATAATCTATTATTTTCTCTCATGCACAAATTCATATTTAAAAATCCAATCAATGGGTCTTTTCTATGTATAATTATGGTTTATACATTTATTCTGAATGTCTAAATCATTAATATTCAATGCAGTTAATGGGGAGTCCTGGTGGTGCAGTGACTAAAGGAGAGGTTGGAGGCTCTAACTCACCAGCTGCTCCACAGGAGAAAGATGTGGGAGTCTCTTTCCATAACGATCACAGCCTTGGAAGCCCTTGAAATTGCAAAGTTATCGCAATACTTACTGGACAAATTCCTGACAGCATGTAGACGTAGTTCTGTCTGGACATCTTCCTTGAATCTTCCCCAGATGCTCACCCCAATTCTGTTAAGTATATGGAAGGTGCTCACATTTAGCAGACTGGACTGAGTCTCTGATTTGCCTTACATTGAAAGTAATGACTTCCTAGCAGAAAGGAGATTGAGCACAACACTCGTGTTGACATAAATCTGACCATTAGGTTTTAGTTCTAAGCAAAGCCTTAAATAGAAGGCAACTGGTTTGCACTCCCAGCCTTCCATATACAAATTACTCTTCTCATGTCCTTCAAAATTACACACACTCACATACCCAATACTTCAATTTACATCCCAATACATTACAGAAAAGTACCTGCAATCTCTGCCGTTCTCTGAAACTTTGATTCTGGGTTTTGATTTCTGCTCTTCAATTGGAAAAAGCAAGTCAGATTGTTGTAAAAACCCAAAACATCTAGAAAAATGTCGCATCTGCAGAGTTGGCAGTTTTGAAACTAAGTTTTGCTGTGGCCTCTGCCAAACTTTGAGAGGGCTTTGTTCCACTCAGCCCCTGCGGCCAGTCCTCTCCCTTGGTTGTGAAGATACTCATCCTCCTCTTCAGTTAATGAGTTTCACCTAGTCTGGCCGTTTGTGTTTTTATAAAAAGATCTGCAAAGCACTAATTGCAAAAGAAGAAAAAAAAGGAAAAAAGCCCTTGTTTTGTATTACTCAGAACCTGAAATTCTATAGTAAAAACATTTTCTATTTTAACGTTTCAGAAATCAAATCTCCTAATTTTAGGATGTGCACACAACTCCTCCAGTACTTCTCTGGGTATAGAATGTTAAGCCCTCTGCAGGAATTACTTCTGGCTTGGGTCCTTTACTATTTAACAGAAAGTTGAAAGAAAAAATATATGCCCACATCAAATAAACTTTCCAAAAATATGGATAAAGAAAATTGTTTTCCTTAATGAGCACATATTTTTGATAGAGAGTTCACTTTGTCGGTCTAAGGGGTTCTTTGTTCTGGAAATAAATTATCAAGGAAAAAAAACTGTCCATGAGGATTCATTTTCTTTAAATGTTATGTGGTCCATAAACTATTATTTTTATAGTTTGTAAAAAACAAAAAAACAGTAAACCACGTGGACTTTTAGAACGTATTTTCTGGGAATCAAATTGAAATAAACAAGCGTTTAGAAATTTGGCATGTCAATAATAGTTATACTAGCTTGGTTCGAATTTCTAAAGTCATTCATTTGTATGCAAAAACCCAAGTTGGGAGGATTTTCTGCAGAAGTATTGTACCATTTTCAAACTAATTTTTCTGCCCAAATTAGTACTTCTTATATAAAATATTTAAAAAATTATATCTCATTTCCCAAAATGCATTCATGGTCCTTTGATAAAGGGTGACCCCATTGGTTGCATAACATTTTTTTTTTCTTCCTGTGAAAGGGACTGGAGTTATTTTTTTAAAAAATTTACTATAAAAACTAGAGAAAGCAAAATTTTAACTTCTAAAATACCTTTCTTATGATTCAGTTTGCACATTCACAAGCTAAAACAATGAAGTGAAATACAATAGTTCAGCTCCAAACTGTAATTCTAAAACCACAAATGTAAAAGAGGTTTGGGGTGTCTGGAAACTATTTGTTTTGATAATTTATAAATCACACTTTATCCATGCTAATTTATTTTTCATTAATTTTATAAGCTCATGTTCTTCAGATTTCTTTCAGTATTTGTATTCCAATGCTGATTGTTTAAATCAGTAAACTGAGCTGTGTTACCACATCATGCCAACTAGTGTAAAAGAACAAAAACAAAACACCTACACGACTTAATGAAAAAGAAAGGCCCACTTGACTGTTAGAAAAAATTACTCAAGGTTCTTTTAACTTATATTTAAATATCGATTCAAAACATAGGAAATAGAAATTGGCATATTAAAGTGTAGATACATTGTACAATAAACAACCAACAAAATCAAGGCTCAAGATCCTGAAAAGTTCTAAATATGATGGGAAAATTATGACTATTTTAGTTATTCTTTAAGTCCTGATTACAATTCAATAAATCGCCTTATTCTCTTTCTTCTTCTTGATGTGCTTTCAAATATAGATTAACTGATGTCCGTTTTTAGCAATTTTACTTGCTTATTCTAGTACTTTATCAAGGTATTCAAATCCAAGATAAGAAAATACCTCAGGTATGGTAAATAATACAGCTACAGAAGGATGGGGTATATTTATTTTATCAGTTCATTTTGGGAGACCAAATTCCATATAAAAGTAGTTTACAACCCTCTTTTTTATGATGAGCAGCATCTCAGAAAACAAATCCTTTTAGGATAATATACACACACATTTGCCAAATGATCAAAACATTTTGAAATCAGCTGTAAACTTAAAAAGCTGTTATCAGTCCATATGACCAATATTTTGATTATTTTTATTCCATTTCTCTATTACCTAAATGGCAATAATTCCTCTGTGATAATGTTGCTAAGTGCATGATCCACCTTGAGATACAATTCAATTTACTTTCAATCGAACATTAATGAAATTGCACTTAAGGGGGGGGGGGGGCTTTGAAAACTAATCTTCCAAGATAAATTCCACTTCAAAAGGAGTCATCATTCAAGCTGCGTTGATTTTTAGAGCTACAAACACCAACGAAGTTTCCAACTTTTAAAACTCTGAGAGCTTTGGTTAGGAACGTGGTGGAGATGGACTCGGCGAGCTTTTCGCTTAATTTAGGAAATTCTGGAAGGAGGTATCACCAACTCAAAGCCTCGTGGGGCGATGTTACATTATTCGGTCCGTGGGGCTGTGGCTGTCCCCCACCCCCAGCAAAGAGGGTTAGAGCCTGCTCCTCTCCAAGGCCCCTTCGTTTTTGAACGCCGTTTACACAACGGCCAGCTTCCGCACGGTTCCCTCAACCGTTTTCGCAGTTTCTTGCAGACCCTTCCGGCCGCACGCAGGACCCCGCCCCGGGGGGCCCGCACGGTCACCACGTCCTGCCATAGAGCAGGTTGGCACCGAGCACGCCGCCGCCGTAGTCTCCGGCGGCCGCGTCCAGGGCCGCCAGACCACCCCCGGGGCCGTGCAGAGCTGGAGGGCTGGGCGACAGCTCCTCGAGCTCGGGCGCCGGCGTCGGGGCCGGGGGCTGCGGGCCAGCGTGGCCCGGCGTCGGCGTGCTGGCGCCATTCTGGCACGGCTTGCCGTCCTTGACCAGCACAGGCACGGCCACACGGCGCGGCGACGGCGGCGGCGGGCCCAGGCCGCCCTCCTGCTGCAGCTGCTGCGCTGCCTTGTCCTTGGCCTGCCGTTTCATCTTGTAGCGGTGGTTCTGGAACCAGATCTTGACCTGCGTCGGCGTCAAATGGATCATACTGGCCAGGTGCTCGCGCTCGGGCGCCGACAGGTACTTCTGTTGCTTGAAGCGCCGCTCCAGCTCGTAGACTTGCGCTTGCGAGAAGAGCACGCGGCGCTTCCTTCGCGGCGCCGCCGCGTGCAGTGGGCCCAGGGACTTGGCGGCGTCCGCGATGCCCGTCAGCGACCCCATGCCGGCCACGTTGACGCCTGCCGACGGCCCCATGAACCTGGAGACTGGGCCCAAAAGACAAGGCCGTTGAGCGCCAGGCCCGCCCGCTCCCGTCGCCGCCCCGCTCTCTTCACACCCACGGCGGCCACAATGCCGCAGAGCCCCTGGTCCCAGACCAGGTCCCCGGACCCTCCGCGCACCCAGCGCGCCACCCGAGCCGGGACTCAGGACCTTGCGCGCGCCCAAGGGCCCCAAATCCCTCAGCTGCCCTGGGCCGGGCCCCAGGACCCCGCGCGCGCCCCGGGACAGGCACCCCCTGGGCTGGGTCCCCGTACGCCCCGCGCGCCCC